ACACAACAATAACCCATAAGCCTCTCCATGGTTTGACACATCAGCATTTTCAAGCTTTTAAGAGATGACATTTCAGCAAAAAAAACACCAATAAAAATATTTCATTAATACAAATCATCAATTTATTTTAACTTTTAAATTTAAACCAATTAAAAACTCAAATATTTTTTATTGTTAATATTAGTTTTATTTTTTGGTCAAACTCAACCCCAAATAATAAATAACAGCAAAAAATTGTTTTATTATTTTTTGCCAAATCTAAATAATAAATAACAACAAATAATAAAATTAAATATTTGTTTTATATTTTTGCCAAACTGAAACTCAAATAATAAATAACAGCAAAAAAAATTAAAATTTCTAACTATGTGTTTGTTTGATAGAGACGTATGATTGAAGAAAGTGTAGACTCATCATCAACTATGCTTCCATAACAACAATGCAAAAAGTGTTATGTTATAAGAAGCTCACACATCAGCAAAAATTTGAACCAATAAAAACATAACAATAATACATGTTATTAACACACTAATAAAATCAATTTACTATTTTGCTAACCCATTAAAAAGCCCAAAGTTTACAAAAAAAAAATAGAAGGCGAAAGCAAATGAGGAGAAACTCAGACCACCACAGCTTGGAGATTCGCATTTCTACTGGTTATCGAGAACAAATTTTCTTGGATTTGGCGGAAATAGATAATTTCTTGGTTTTCGTAGAAAAATGTAATTTTTAGTTTTGGTAGGAAAACATAGTTTCTCGGTTATGGCGGAAAAAAGTGAATTCTCGGGCTTGGTGGAAAAATGTGAATTTTTGGTTTTGGTGAGAAATAAAAAAAATTGATTCTTACGAGAAAAATGCGAGGGAAATGCAATTTTTCAATTTTGACGAAAATACGATTTCTCGGTTTTTATAGAAAATGCAATTTTTTGGTTTTTGATGGATAATGTAATTTCTTGATTTTTGCGAAAAATTGTAATTAGACAATTTTGGCAGAAAATGCAATTTCTCGGGTTGATAGAAAAGCAAAATTTCTCGATTTTGGCGGGAATAAACAATTTCTTGGTTTTGATAGAAAATGCAAATTTTCAGTTTTTGACATATAATTTGATTTTTGGTTTTCGAGAGAAAATATGATTTCTTAGTTTTCGTGGAAACTCAATTTCTCAGGAGATAATGCAATTTTTGATTTTTGTAGAAAATTGTAGTTTATCGGTTTTGGTAGAAAAGCGTGATTCTTGATTTGATGAGAAAAAAAATTTCTTGTTTTGGTGGGAAATAGACGATTTCTCGATTTTTGCGGAAAAATAATTTTTTGGTTTTGACGGAAAAATGCTATTTTTTTGTTTTTGCAGGAAGATGAAATTTTTTGGTTTTTGTGAAAAAACTTGATTTCTCTGTTTTGACGGAAAAACATAGGTTCTCGCGGGAAAATGTGATTTTTTTTGTTTTTGAGGGAAAATGCAATTTCTTTGTTTTGGTAGGAAAATGAAATTTTAGGTTTGACGAGAAAATAAATTTTTTTTTTTGTTTTGGCAGGAATAAGCGATTTCTCAGTTTCGTGGGAAATAACTTTTTTTTGTTTGTCGGAAAATGCAATTTCTCGGTTTTTGTAAAAATATAAAATTTCTCTGTGCTAAATTTTCAAGTTATAATATGTTTATAGTAACCAAAATTAAATTATTTAACTTCAACTAAATTGATATTTCAACAGTTCAAATAGAACTTTCTATTTAGTTCTAAAGTAATAGTAATGATTTTGATATGAATGATATTGATTATAATTTGGTAGTTTTAGAAACATATGTCTATAATAAATATTTGATAAAATAATTATATTAATTAATATATTTTTAAATGGCAACTTGTTTTATATAATTTCAAATGAGGATCAAGTAGCAATTTAGTAGAGAAAATAAATTACACCTACCATTAGCTTGAAGGTATTTAAAAATGTATTGTTTTATTCTTACATATACATTTATAGATAGTTAGCTAAACAAATTTGATAGTATATTATAATTTTAAAAAATAAAAAAATTAATGATATATAATGTTTATTCAGATTTAAGACATATAAATACATAACTTAAGCTAATAAAAAATAAATATAATACTCATTTAAAATATATAAATAATTTTATTATATTAAAAATATACAAATCTAAAAAAATATCCTGCAGCATAGCGCAGGTAAATATCTAATTTATATAATAATTAAAGATGGATGTACGTGTCTTCACTGATATATATAAGATGGATGTACGTTCTCATTTATCAGATCACTCGAATTCCTCTATACCTAATTCTTTTTTTGTCAAATCAAATGGACAGCATCGTGATTCCGAATGGATAATTAGTGGGACAGTACTAGTTTAAAGTAATTTTTGGGGGGTTGAATGGTAAGAGTGAACATAATATAGTATTCAACAAGTAACTTCACTTGTCGTAAATTAGTTTTAAGTTGAAAAATAATGAAATTTAGTATTATATAACCCAAACAAAATTTAATCTGAAACCGATTTTACTTAAAATTAAAACTGATTTAAAATCTAAAGCCAGTCAATTAATATCTTATAATTTTGTCAATGTGAATAGTAAGCAGAGTCATGTAAACGTGTTAAGATATAATCACCATATTTCTTTTTTTTTTATTTGTTTGTTGTGGTCACAAAACTACCTACTTACTAAACAAATCAAACCGGTCCGAAACTTTTTTTATAAATATTTACGCGGTTTAAAAATAAAAATTAATTTTAGAATGTAGTGAAGAGTGGTGTGACCGGGATCACCTTTGTCTCGATCTGTTTGTACTTTGTAGCTATCATAGAAGATGAAAACTGAAAACAACTTCAGATAGGATTATCTCCGTTCGAAAGTAATAATAGAGCAGTGACTTTAATAATACGATTGAAGAGAAAGAAAAAAAAAATAAGACTTTTTTATTAATATCTTTTAAAGTAGCATCAAAACTTTAAAATTTCAGAAAATAATATCGATTTAAAAAAGATATTAAACATCTGTTTCCCCTCTTCGTGGTGTTTTTTTGTAAAAGGATCATATGTTGGAGAAGAAAATGAGAAAGTGGTATTTTGTTTTATAGTTTTATGAGAAAATGAGGTGACTGCTGTAAAAAAAAAGTCTAGAAGCAATGAAACAGTTATTTTATTATAATCATTTCATTATATCATATGGTTACGTATTCTTCATTTCTTCTATATACTCTGTAAAATTGTTTTACCTAACATAGTGTGAATTGGGAAAGGTGAAGAGGAAGTGTGAATTGGGAAAGGTGAAGAGGATGAGAGAAAGATGTTCAGACAGAAGGATTCGACCAAGAAAGGTCTTTCGTAGACTCGTAGTCAATGGAGTTTTGAGCATTCCCTTTTTCTATTTTTTTTGGTTCAGGACTATATACAGTAAAATTTTTATAAATTAATAATGTTAAAACTCTCAAATTTTATAAATTTATAAAATTATTAATTAATCGATAAATTAATAATATTGATAAATTAATATTTTATTAATTTATAGAAATATTTTTATTTTGAATTTTTAATATTTATTAAAAAGCAAAATCAATATTTTTAACAATGTAAAATTTATTTAAAAAATGTCATAATATATTTAAAAAATAAATCAAACAAGTTTTATAAACTTGAAACAACAATATTATCATAGTTTACTATATTATATTATTAATATATATATAAATGTATAATTATTAATTTATATTATATTAGAACCATATTTTTACATAAAATTTTTTTAAAAAGTATTATTTTATCGAATTTTGTCAATTTTTACACTGTTCCAACTTAAAACGGACAAAAATTATTATAATAATTTTTGATTTATCAAGTATTAATTTATAGAAATTCTACTGTAATAACAAAAAAAACATGGAGATGAATGTCATCTATAATGCCACGTCACCCCACAGAAAAAAATATTTTAAAGGAAAGAAGCATATACTACAACGTACATTGATTACCTGTGTGCGTGTACTAATGTCATAATTTTCCCACTAATTTTGTTACTTTGGCTATAACGAATTTTGTTTCTAGTCTGTGGACTTGAGGATTGCACAGAATAAAAATAAAAATATATACGTGTGTCCAAAGTTACGTTTTTTATATCTGAAAATATAAAATATTTCAGATAAAACTAAATTAAAAATTAAGAAATAAATGTTTTAAATAAAATATTAATTGTCAGAAAATATCAATTAATAATCAAATAAATATAATCTAACTAAATATTAAAATTATAGAATTTTTTTAAGTTAAAATCATCAAATTGTACTAAAATGTGCATACAAACTTGTAAAACACCTTATATACAAAAACAAAATCCTAAACAAATTTATTGTCAACATTATTGTCTCTTTAATTATTAGTTACTCCCTCTGTTTTATAATAATTATCATATGGAGAAAATGTATTTGCAATGTATTAAACTTAAAACACATCCAGATACATCCAGTTACAATACAGATACATTTTCTTCAAATGACACTTATTATGAAAGGGAAGAAATATTATTTATTTTAAATAGCTTTAATTACCACGATTGTTAACTAGTGGTTTCCTTTTTTACGTACCAAAATTTATATAATCACCTTTTTAAAAAGGTTTACATGCATCATTAATATTTTATTATATCTTAACCTTTTGATAGCTAAAATTAAAACGATCGTATTAAAACAGATAATTTGTGGTAATTACAAAAACTTGTGGAAGTCGATGATTTAATTAAAGGGATAAGTTTTGTATAAAGTTTGGCAAGATTTGGATATTTTGGTATATGATATTCTATTGGTAGAAATTTTGTACTCTAAATATCAACTTTTCAAAATATGTGTTTCTTTTTATTGAAAAAAAATCAACTTAAATCTAACGGTGAGGATTGTGAAATAAAATCCAACGGTGGAAATATAATAAACCAAAAAAGGAGGGGCTATATATAATTGTATATCCCTAATAATAATAATACATCCATCACACTGCTCACTCTCTCGAGACCATTCTACTTTTAAGTAAAGAGATATAGAGAGAGACTCGCTTCCAAATAAAATACTATATTTATCTTATTTTAAAATTGTCTTATCGTGAGGTGATGAACGTGGCAAGTATAGGACTGGTTGGCCTGAGAAAAATGGGGAGGAAGACGTGGTTCGACGATGACGGGATGAAGAAAGGAGAGTGGACAGCGGAGGAAGACCAAAAGCTCGTCGCGTACATCAACGAGCATGGCATCTGTGATTGGCGTTCTCTCCCCAAAAGAGCTGGTATACATAAAATATCTATCCTTACACCATATCCATATCCATATACTTTTTCCCTGTTTGTTGTTGAAAGTGCTCGATTGTATTATTAGATATATTTGGGATATAAGATTTTAGAGATTCTCTTCAACATACTAACGTGAGTAGCAGAACCCGTGTTCGGGGTGTTTCGAACTCATTTATAAAATAAGTTCATGAAATCCTAGTCAAATCATTTAGCTTTTGTAACCAAACCAAGAATAGAAAAAGAAACTACATATACACGCCATATCTTATATTAAAAGTACATGATAGATTCCTATAATTTTTTATAGTTGATTATTTTGTACTTTTGTTTTGTTCAAGTGTCAATGATACCTCACTCAATTGTTTTGTTTCGAGATCTATAATATAGTTGATTGTTTTGTGCTCTTGTTCTATCCATATGATATTATAAAAAAAAAACGACAGCAATCTATTAACGGTGCCCAAGACCGGCAGGTGTTCCCTGTGCTTTGAATATGTTTTAAATCTTGAAACTTTAATTACTACTTTTTTGGTTAGAAAAGGTGACCCAAAATCGAAAAGATATAATCTTTACAACTTCTCTGGTTTCAGATTCTCCATTGTTGAGAAAAAGTTTAATTCTTCGCAACTTCTTTTGTTTGCCACTACAAAAGCACAATTAAAGTTCTGCTAAAATTGACATTTTAATAATTTATTATGAAAAACAGGCTTGAAGAGATGTGGAAAGAGCTGCAGATTAAGGTGGCTTAATTATCTACGACCTGGGATTAAAAGAGGCAAATTCACTCCTCGAGAAGAAGAAGAAATCATCAAACTTCATGCTGTTCTCGGAAACAGGTTAATTTTGTAATTATTTTCCTCGTTACTTCATTTAAAATTTCGTTTAAGAATTTTTCATACATCTAAAAAAATATTTTTTATTATATCTCTTGATTAATGGAGTATATACTACACGTTTTTATCTTTCTTATAAACCATGAAAGAAAAAAAAAGTTAAACTAGAATTTTTTTAGAAAAAAATTAGCATTGAAAATATATAATTTGAAGAAAAATAACAATCATAAAACAACATTTAATTAAAAAAAAAGTAAAATACTATGAATATTAGTCAAAAGTAGTAGAATAACATTTTTTTGTGAAACAAAGAAATTTTTTTTTTAATTGTGACATTTAAATATACATGGAGCTAAGTTTTATAATTAATAACAAATTTATCTTTAAAATAGTAATGAATTTTAATTATGGTAGGAATTTGTGTCCCTTCAAATTGTAAGAATATCTTGTATGACTATCTCACTAAGAAAAAATCGCTTTTCATATGAAAAACTCTCAGATTTGATACGAGAAACTCGTGACACTTGTTTATGTATGAATAGTTTCAAAGTTTTAAAACTATTAAAATTTAAGAATTAAATTTTATTAAAATATTAATATAATTCACCTTAGATGCTTGTTGGAATAATTTAGAGTTGAAGATACTAATAACAGATACTGTTATAAATATTGTTGTTTTTATTGTTGAAATTGAAGGTGGGCAGCCATAGCGAAACAGATGGAGAATCGAACAGACAACGACATCAAGAACCATTGGAACTCTTGTCTCAAGAAGAGACTCAAGAGAAACGGAATCGATCCGATGACCCACGAGCCCATAGTCATTAACCTCACCGTCAATACCACTGACGAAGAATGCGGTAGCTCTTCCACAACTACGTCGCCGACGACAGAAAGCCCTTCTTTCTCCTCACCCTCCGGCTCGGCTTGTCTCCTGAACAAGCTAGCCGCTGGTATCTCATCTAGACAACACAGTCTCGACAGTATCAAGACCATCTTGTCGGGCCCAAAGATCAGAAGCAGTGATAAAAACGAAGCAGAAGAAGAAGAAAAAGAAGAAGAAGAAGAAGAAGAAGAAGAAGAAAGGGAGTCAAAGATTGATCAGAAGATATATGGTGGTGAAGACAATGATTTTCCGATGTGGGACGATGACGAAATTACGCATTATATGGGTATTGATTTAATGGACTATGAGACGACGTCGTACGACTCTGTCTTGTACGAGAGCACTCACATACTTGATCTTGATCATCTCTTCTGACTCAATCCGCTGGTAGTATTTATGTGTTATTAACATGCAAATGGTTGGTTCATTGTTGCAACGAAGAATATTAATGTGGACCAGTTTGACCAATAGAATGATTTACTTCAGTCAAAAAAGAAATACAACTATTTATAAAACATCATCACTTAATGTAAAATCGTTGCTTAAAAAAAACATTATAAAAACAGAGAAATAATTAAATAACCAGTCGAAGAGTCAATTACTTTTTTAGTTCTTTTTGTAATGCTATGCTTGTTTTAAACAACAAACATAACTATAAAAGGGAATTGTTTCGTCTGATAAATGGGAAAGGCAATAAATAAATTATCCATGTCACAACCGGAATATTCACATTTTCCACTCCAGGTATATATGTGTAGACTGTAGTACTACTTACTTCGTAGGCTCTTTTCGTAGGAACCCAAATAAATAATTTAAAGATATTTTGTCTTGCGCAATCAAGACTAAAAGATGGAAAAGTTTTTTTTTTATAATTTATTTAAAAGCTTTACGTATGGTTTTAATAATGTATTTAAAAGCTTTATGGATTTACCACTATCTAAGTAATCATAACAAAGAGTCAAGACTTCATTAATGCTGGGACTGACAGTGTCCAAAAATACAAAATAATACAGTGGTTGAGGACACATGTCAACAATTCGTGTCTACTTTTAAAGAAAACTAAATAGTAATTAATGATTTTGTTTTTATGTGACTTTTCCTTAAGAGTAAAGAAAAGGAAACATAGAAGTAAGCCAAAAAAAGGGGAACATTATATTTCTCCGTTAGGGCAGGTCATACATATATGGGCATTCATTATATTTGTCTCCGTTAGGGTAGGTCATGGTAAATTCTACATATATGGGCTCTTGATATGAGTAGATGGCTAATAATGGTTAATGGGTTTGGCTTAAAACAATGAAATCACGAGGTCTCCCGTCTTGGTCATGGAGATATTCATGATGTCATGCGTCTGCCTGTGTTTAGCTTCGACTGTTAAAGTAAAAGCCCACCTTGGCCGAAACTTGATGATGATTTTTGAATCCAAACCGAATTTCTGAAATGAATTTCGAATAATTTAGTTGGTACAAATTTGTTCAATACTAGATATACTTGAGTTAACTATTTATTTCATCCAAAGGCTATTTAAACCCAAAACCAATAGTACTGTATTTCTTTAAACTAGCCACATTAAATTTCTGAATGCCAGCAGTTACGTACAAATGAACATCTATAGCATAGTGTCACCTGTACTGGTGTTTGATTCTTCGATATATGGTCAACTTCACCTTCTCTGTGATCCTCATTCTTTTCTCTCTATTATTTAAATTCAAATAGATATGTGTTTTTTTTGGGGGTGAAATTTCTTTCAAATATATTTGAGAGACGATAATTAAATGGTGGACTCTCTCACTAAACAATCTCTTCGGTTTGAATCTTTAGATCACGATTTATCCGTTTAAATAAAAATTCAGTTTTTCGCCAATATTTTTTTTGTTCGTTTTATATATTCATCTATTTTCATTTTCACAAAAGAAAATTATGTGAAAGATGGCAATAATATGTATTTTAAACACAAAGCACAGTAAAAAAAATTTTAAAGTCCACAAAAGCAAAAATTGACGCCATGCTTTTCGTCATGTACTTCTAATAAAAAGAATATATATATTTGCTAAAGAACAAAACTGACTCTTTGATTCAAGAATTTGAATTATCTTTCTGACCCGTCATGCTGCTCCACATGGGACAATTGTCTTCTAATAAGTCAATGAGATTTAAGGTCCTAGATGCTCACAAGAACATCATGCAACCTTATCATCATGTCTTTTTAAAAAAATTCAACCACACATTAAAAGGAAAAATATTCTGTTAATTTATACGTGCGAAACGTTAATCTCAATTTTCCTGAAAATGGGACAAGTCACATTCTTTCAATCGTTTTGGCTTTTATCGAAGAAGAAGACAAGAAGCAATTTAAGCACGTGCCAATAATACTCCATGGACGCACTGTGAAAACGATTTAATAACGCGGTCCCAACTATCATGTGGTAAACCAAACAAAACAAAAAGAAAACAATTTAAATTTCGCTGGTATATCAATTTAAATAAAAAAATAGTATAGTTAAAAAATAAATTAATAAAATTAATAGAATGAGTAAATTGAAAACTGAATAAATTCAAAATGTTAAAAAGTTAGTATGTATTAAATGAATAAATTTTTCTTTAAACTAATTATAAATTTAAAACGTGCGGAAAATGATTTAAAAAATAGCATGTTAATTTTTATTTTTTAACATTTAGTACTTACTATTATGAATGATATATGTTTAGTGGAATCACATTTTCAAAACGTGTCATTCAACTCCTTTGTTAATTAAAACATAAAATTATTGCAAAACTTAGACAATTTTTTTGCGTCACTAATTTGATATCTTTTTCTTCGGCGACTTTGGAAATACATAGTATAACTCTTACAGTCGTAATGATGATGATACACTTAGTTTTACTATTTGTACTATCAAAATGAGTATGTATTAATGTGAATGGAGATGGATTATATACGGCAACTAAATCTATCTTCGAAATCTGACCGTAAATTTGCTTTGTCTACTATTCGTTTTTCCCCCCTGCAGTTATCCATGGGTAGTTGATAAGTGTACAAACTAGTTGATCATTGGACTTTATCTATAGTTATTTGTTCGACAGTGGGTTTGTTGATAAGTTAGCACTTAAACTTTGCTTACTCTTTTTGTTTAATCCAAATTTTTGTCTATTCCAAAATTAGTCGGATTTGGATCTAAAAACATCATATGATAATGAGTCGTAATATCGTTTAGATCAGATTTTGCATTCTTTCGACAAACGTTGTAAGTTTGGGAATACCCACAAACCTTATAAAACGTAATTCTTCCAATAGTGAGCAAAACATGTGCTATACATCTTAATTTCTTATTAATATCCCATGGAAGGAAGCTCCGTTTTTTTAACGTTGTTTGGGAATCGTCATACCTATGATATTAAGATTGTCAAAATCTCCAAAAGAATTCTTAAGATTTTCTTACGCTTTAGTTAGAATAGGTCAACGTGAACAGAAAAAAAGAATGATTCCGGAGAAAACTGGGGATCGCAGTTCCGAATCTCAGTTACAGTAATTTGAGATCTAATGTGTCATTTGATAGAAAATCACCTTCTACTTTACAAAAAAAAAAAAAAAAATCGAAAAAAGTAAAGAAAATAATTATATAAAAACAAAAGGAGAGGGCTATTTATACACTAGCTACTAGCTTTGTACTCTCACTCATTCAAGAGACATTCTAAAATAAGTGAATATTGTGCGAATTAGAGGGAGCTCTCAATACTTTCATAGTTTTTTTTTCGTTTAAAAGTACCCTAGCTCTTCTCTTGTCATTAGGTAAATTACACGTGGTGGTATATGGGGAGAGCAACATGGTTCGAAGCCGACGGGACGAAGAGGGGAGAATGGACGGAGGAGGAAGACCAGAAACTCGTCGCTTACATCGACGAATACGGCATCGGTGACTGGCGTTTTCTCCCTCACAAAGCTGGTAGTATATATATTGTGATTTTTTTTTTTTTGTATAATGGTTAAGTACTAAAAACCAAACATGTTTTGTAGGAGCTGCATAATTGTAGGTGTCGCTTTTAATTAACTCCAACATGATAGACTTTTTCAATAGTAACAAAATGATGAAATTAATACGCTCTTTATTGTGTCACTAATCGCAACAAAAATCATGAAACAGATAACTAAGAGGCTTTCTAACTAAAAAACTTTTAATAATTGATAGAAGAAGGAAAAACTTCTACTCCACTGGCAACTACAGCAAATCATTCTCTAATCAAAAATAATAGTATAAAGTATTAAACGTAAAATATAGAAGTTTCTGATAACGATACTTTTAATCCTTTTTTAATCATCATTGCTTGTAGTTATTTGTTTCTAATCATTATATGGTGGTTCTGTACTTCTGTTTTTTGTAAGTTTTGTGAAGGTCCAAACAATCGCTTGTGTTTAGTTACGGATTTAGATGGTGCCAATATTAAAGCAGGTGTTCCATGGCTTAGAGAATGATTTGCTGCTTAAAGAGTTCAAGTTTTTAATCTTATATATGTGATGAATTACAAGGTTTGCAGAGATGTGGAAAGAGCTGCAGATTAAGGTGGCTTAACTATCTAAGGCCCGGGGTCAAGAAAGGAAAATTCACTCCTCAAGAAGAACAAGTTATCATCAATTTTCATTCTCTTCTCGGGAACAGGTTTACTACTTAATTAGCAAATTAAATGTTGTAAGAAGCAATAAACCCACAATTTCATGCGATATATATATACGAGAGTATTAGTCGATATATATTTTTAGGGCGTTGATTATATATTCAAACCCTATCACTGGCATTAATTTTGTAAAAATTAAATTTTGTAAGAAGCAATATTACTTAATTATGAAATATGTTTTTAGTACTGCTAAAGGAAATATAACAAAAGAATAATACAATTTGAACCTATATCATATTTTTTATTTAATTAGTATTGAAAAATATTTAATTATTTATTTCGCAACCTGAAAGAATTTTGACTAACTACATATTTATAATTGCTATTTTTTGTTTCTTACATCTGAATTTGTGAAATATATATCAGTCAAGTCAACAAACTTAATATTGAACTAAAAAAACTATTGTAGATGGGCAGCCATAGCGCAGCAGATGCCGGGTCGATCAGACAACGACATCAAAAACCATTGGAACTCTTGTCTCAAGAAAAGACTCGAGAGAAATGGAATCGACCCAATGACCCACCAGCCATCTAATAAAGAATGCTGCAGCTCTTTCTCTTCCACGGCGAGTCCATCTTCTTCCTCCGGCTCGGCCCGTCTCCTTAACAGGATCGCCACTGGCATCTCATCCACAAAACACGGCGTTGACAGGATCAAGAACATCTTGTCGGATCCCAGAATCACAAGCATGAATGGCCAAGAAGAGGAATTTGTAGAGCTGAAGAAGGATCATGGGAAGATTTTAGCTAGTGATGATCAAGAAGATGATTTTCTATTGTGGGACGAGGAGAAATTGAGGCATTTCATGGAGGAGATTGGCGTAGTGGAGTTCGAAACGACGTCATACGATGGAGTCTATAACTCTAGCTAGTTCATTATCACCGTATGGTGTTTATGAGACTGACCAACTTGATGGCCATCTCATTTGATGAATCAGTGGTGTTGTACTGTGTGAGAATTGTCGTTTTATGTGCCTCATTACCACATATTATGCTCTTGGCACGTTGCGACAAAGAATAATATTCATGTGCCGACCAAGAGAATAATTTCCTTAAAGTCAAGTATGTGTTTATGTGTCTCTAATTTAGCGTATATAGAAGATGGGTCATGGGTGCGGTGAACCAAAATAGGAAACTTCATGAGTTTGTGATGTTCTACTAATAGTGCAATGAATCATTTGGATTTGATCGTGAAGAAGTCTTATGTCTTGCATTTCTGCAAAGAGACAATAACTTCTTTTTTTTTCTATATTTTCATTAGGAGTTATCATGCATATCTCTGTATCAGTTTTGAAAAAAAGAAGGGACAAATGTAAAACATTAATTTTGTTTCTAATAGAAATTAAGTCTATGTTAATATATTTATATATGTTGGCAATTCTTTGTCGTGCTTTATATTTTAATACAAATATTATATAAAGGAAAGCAACAAAACAAAACACAAATACACTATACTGCATTGCGATATTAATTGCTTCTTCTTCTTTATGTTCTAGTCCACAACACTGTTTTAGATTTTGTCATGCAATTAACTTGATGTATTCGATTTACGAAGTTGATGTTTTTCTTTCATTTTGTAATAAATTATGTCGAAATGTCTATCGTTGCATCGTAGCAAAGCGGTGGGATGCTAAAACGACGTTGTTAGGGCCACATGTAAACCAATGTCCCTACGACCACGTGGATAACGTTATCACTTTTGTTACACATTTCGTCACGTGATACTTATGCGCCCACTTGATTATAACTTACATTATTGAAAGACTTTTTTGAAATTGTTGATTTTTGTTATTGACAAACTGACTCGAATATGCTGTTGGGGAAAAAATTGACTAAAATGAGCACTGCAGTTTTTTTTTTTTCACAAGAATAGTATGAGCACTATAGATAGATAAATTGAAATAGATTCTTGTAAAGTTCTATTTACACAAATTGCCTTTGATTGAATCGCCGGGTGATTGCATGGTTATCTTATTATAAATCTTTTGATAATATGACCATGGTGGTTTTTGAACCGCTCTTTCAAAAATAAATGTTCAACTTTCGTTTGCAACTTTCAATATATTAAAACATAGCTTTATACACAAAATCCATCAATCCATATGGTGGTCTTATTATAAATCTCGGTTTTAACATAGAAAACATAGTAGTCGGGAATTTAAGTTCTTGAGTTACATAATCCAAAGTTTATGTGATCTTATTCTTCTTGATCTGCTTCTTTTCTCTCCATTCCTTTATGTCACTTTCTACTTTGGCATTCACACGCGCTTGAAAACCGGGATATGGTTCATACCCGAAAACCGATTGAAGAACCTGTTTTCATTCCACACAATTCCTTCCACATTAGCTTTTCACTGATAGTTAAGGTTTTTACGGAACAGGAGATAACAAGCAGATCAAAACATAACATAACAGAACACAACGGCGAACAACTTTCACCTCAAGCAACACAAAGAAAGGAGCCATGAGAAAAGCTTGGACTAGGTTGTCTAATAGCGCAGGTGCTCGTTTCTGTGAGTAGAGACAAGAATCAAGAAGATGTGTGTTTTAAGGCATCATGAATACCGATGATGAGACAGAAAGGAGAATCAAAACAAGAATGATGTCTAAGAGCCAGAGGACTTACCTCGAACAAGCCATGGCCAAGGAACTGCCCAGTCCAACATAACAGCTGAGATGCTAACCCAACCTGTTGAAAAGACAGCGAAGTTGTTACAGTATCTACATCAAAGAGGGATTCCGCGAGTATGTACTGTTTTTCTCTTTCAAAGGAATACTTAACAAACTGATGAAATGATTAAGAAAAAAAGGAACCATGCATACAAAGCTTCTAAGTTAACAGATGTTTCTCCAAATGATTTGCAAGAAAAACCTGAACTTTATTTGAACAAGTGATACTAGACTCTCTAAATATCTGAGACCGTCACTAATGTTTGTGGTCAATAACAACGACTGTAACCAAACGCGATCCTCTTTACTAATGAGTCATTAACACTAAAAACGATAAGAAGAATCAGATTCTTTAAAACTCGAAAGGTGGGGTAGTTGCAGAACAAAATTGCAATAACTAATCACAAATGTTATTGTTGCTGCTGGCTCAATGTTTACAGCTAATGAAGGGACCCCTAGAGAGAAAGGTGAATAACAATTCATAAATCGATTTCTTCATCTTCCCTAAACATAGATTAGAGATAAAGGGCTTTCAAGTCAAACCATGGAAAACAATGAACAATAAATGCATGAAGCACACTGCATATATACAACACACATGGATGCACATACTCTCATAAATATGCTCCTGCACAGTTTATTTACTCCAAAAAGATGATTTTTTTTTTCCACAAACCCCTAAAATCAGATTAGAGAAAAAGCTGACCTTTAAGGCTAGGGATGGTCCTAAGCTAGTAGCGAGAAAGCTGGAACCAACCCAGCAAGCGAAACACATGAGAGCAGCTACAAATCCAGATTTCTTATCCAAACAGATATAGAACAGAGCATAAACCACTGTGGCGATAAAGCCGACGTTTAATCGCAGAACGCCGTCGAGCGATTGAGGAAGCCCTAATTGAGAAGGGCCGCAAATTGGGGTCGCGGGGTGGAGGAGAAGCAGCGCTGTGAAGACGATCGGCCATACGAAGATGATGTGGATCACAATGTTGATTGGATTGCTGTGATAAGCTCCGTAGAAGGCGAAGTGTTTCTCGAGATCGAGCAATCCCATCATTCGACTCATGGTTTAGGCTTTCGAGGAATTTTTTTTGTTTTCTCTGTGGGAGAGGAAGAAAGAGATGAGAGAGATGTTTGAGGGGAAAATTTGGTGGAATTGAAATAGCCAACCAATCCCCAAAACAGGAAGACACGGGAAGAAGACGAGAATGGAAAGTTTCTTTGCGAGTTACGAAGGCGGAGTGCTAACATGCGCTTTTGTACGACTAAACTAAAAAAATGTTCTGCGACTGCTAAACTACGCATATAACGGGAGCGGAAAGTTGTTGGCCTGAACTGCGCATATATGGCCTGACATGCCCATATACAAAGTACGGGAAGAAAACAAAAGTGGATAGTTCTATTAGGTGGAGATTTATTAGCACTTCAGGCAATAGGCGCCAACTTGCGTTTAAGTATATACTAAAAGCGTTCTCTGGTTACTAACATGCGCTTTTAGAAGGCTAACATGCGCTTTAATGCTGTATCACGAAAATTTAAGAATGGACGTTACCGATTCCCTTATCCACACATCTTCTGCCCCAAAAAATCTAATCTTAGAAAGTTCAATTCAAGTGAATAATAAATAAATAAAAAAGATTGCAAAACACTGTGTATTCTTCTCTCTCCTCCATTGCCACCAGCAACAAGTAACAATGGCTGAAGCTTTCACAAGTTCCACCTTCACAAACCTTCATATCCCTTCATCCTCCAATTATTCGGTACGTAGTCATATATATTGACAAATTATTTCATTAGAACAAAAAAAAAAACACTAAGAAAAGTTTCTTGTATTGTAGCCTAAGCAGATTTCAGGGCCAAATCATGGATTTTGGCTATCTGTAAGTAATGTTCTATAACTGTGACTTAAAATAATAATCGCTTTATTTTGCTATGAATTTACGTTTTATAATTTGAAAACTTAGATGAAAGTTAATGACAAGAGGGAAAAGAATCCGATGAGAGGAAGCTTATGTATAAGAAAGGCATTGCCACATGATTTGCCATTAATGGCTGTGATGGTTCAACAAATTGAAGGGATGCGTGACATCATTACAGAGAAACACGTGTGGCATCTAAGTGATAAAGCCATCAAGAATGTCTGTAAGTAGCAAATTTTGGGTTTGTAAAGACAAGGTTTGTCTTCAGTTTGGTTTCTGGATTTTAATATGTTTTTCTTGATCTGGCAGATATGTTCTACATCATGTTCACTTGTTGGGGATGTTTGTACTTCGGTTCGGCAAAAGTATGGGAAAACAAAAACTCAAATCGAACCTCTTGATCCATTTACTGCATTGGGATCTTACATAGTTTTGTTACATTTGATCAATAATGGTGTATATATATATGCATAGGATCCATTCTATGACTCAGAGCAGTACCGTGGAGATGGAGGTGATGGAACTGGATATTGGCTCTATGAAACTGTACGTATCTCTCTTACTAACACTGTAATACTTATAGACACACATATAAACTATAATCAGGAACATTGCCATTGAACGGACTAGACCCTGTGGACCGATTCATGTCCCGTTTGCTTATGCCTCTGTGGTCAGTATGTACTGATAAACCGCGATAAGCAAAGCCAAAAACCTTAACATATTTGATACAATCTTGGTAACATCGGGATGGACCTGCGGGTGATATTTCTTTAAACCCTATAAAAATCAATCATGCCTTGGTTGGGCTGGGTTGGGCCAGGTTGGGCTGGGTCGGGCCATAGACCCATCACCTTTGATACATCACAATGTAGTAATATGTATGTACAACAATTATAAGATTGTATAGAGTTGTTAATTGAGTATTCTTTTTGCTGATATGCTGCAGCAAGAAGACATAGAAGAGAAAGCAAGAGCAGAGCTATGGCGTGAAGAACTAATCGAAGAGATTGAACAGAAAGTTGGTGGTTTAAGAGAGCTCGAAGAAGCTGTTAATAAGTAGCAAACTAACTTGTAAATCATAAACAAATATACTCTCTTTTTCTTGATAACGGTCATAAACCACTCTTTCATTTGTATAATACTATGTGTTATCTGTTTCTTTGCTGTGTTGTTGTTTGAATCATTGAATGAACATGTTAGGAGCAATCGTCTAATTCAGATTTTTGTCTCAATAATTTTAAAATTTGCCATATATATAAACAATTACTCAATTGGGGCGAAATTAATTGGTCGTGTTACACTGGGCAGTGAGTCTAATAAGGAACAATTTGCGGGAAATACGCTTTTGCACGATTTTTTTTCTGTCCTTTTAACTGACTAAAGTAGTATAAAACAAACAAACTAATCAAACATCAAAAAAATAATACTATTCAGTTAAGAGAAGAAGTAGAGCTTGTCATGTCTTTGTCAGTAATCTTCGTGCTTCCATGTTTCAAAAGACTCTTCGAGCTTTCGTAGTAATCCGCACGTGTAGTTATTGTTTCTTCAACAATTCTCCATCCCTCAATGCATTGCTCGAGCATCGAAATTGTCACACGTCTGGTATTTTTTTTTTCAGTTGTCAGATATTATTTTTTTCTTCTTCTACTGGGCATTTTGTTTATCCATTTGTTTTTTTAAATAAAATAAAATAAGTATAAATATCTGTTTGTAGTGTATTTTTATATTGTCGATATCAGTTAATTAATTGTTGTAGTTGTACAATTTATAATCCCGGCCCAAACCTGATGTTTGACTGTTAATGACACTATTTGCATTACGACAAACATGAAAAAAAAATATATATATATATATATATATATATATACTGACTACTGAGAAAACATCCGGAATCTATAGAATTGCAAAATTGTCTTAGTTTTTTAGTTTTATTTTATAGTAAGATAATTGTATCAAAAAGTAAAATAGCACAAGAAACAAAGTAAAAATTAAAAAACAAGGAATTTACACGTCAGCATATGTCCTTGTGCCTTTCTAGAAATACGAGAACGAATCAACAAGACCGAGTCCCTTTACTCTCTTTCTCTCTCCATTACACGCCAACGAAGACTTAGCTGTATTTTTTCCACATGTGCAGTACATTGACTTACTCTCCCCGTCACAGCTCCCCCTTCCTTGCATATATGTCCACGTGGTATCTACTAGCGTCTCATTCTCGATCCCAAATGTCACAGCCCCGTGACTAGAGAATGTCCGCAACTAAGATTTTTACACTGCCTGCCTGTAGATTTATTACCCACTCGACGTGTACACTGCGTGTTTTGTAACGAGTAACAAAAAGAGAGAAAAAAAGGAATGAGAACGCAAAAAATCAAACTATAGCTTTATTTTCGTCACAACTTTAAACTTTTTGTTTTATCATTTTTAAATGTGAACCTTTTATTGTGAACAACAACAACAACAGACGAAAGCAAACAAAAGGGGAAAAATTAAATTATCCAGTAATTGAATAATTCTAAAGCAGATATTAAAATACGCGGTCAAAATAATCGCTTTATAAACCCCATCTCTCCTTCTTCTAGCTTTCATCAATCATCATCATCACTCTCTTTCTCTCTCAATCAAGAAAAACAAAAACTTTATTAAAAAAAAAACAATCTGGTCTTAGAATTTTCTCTAGAAAAAACCTTGACTTTCTCGGGGGAAGAAAAACTCCGACTTTGCATCTTTACTGAGGATGCCAGCTACGGATTTTCAAGGATCATTTGGGAGGACGTTGCTAAGTTTTCGGCGAGACCAAGTTGACTCAACCGCCGGAAGTAGCCACCACGAGCGAAGCAACATGGAGGTTGAGCTCGACTCGTTTCAGAGACAAGTCGCCGAGAAATTCATCGATCTCAACGCCTCCGGTGGTGAAAACGAGCTCCTCTCTCTCGAATGGATCGGAAAGCTTCTCGATTCGTTTCTCTGCTGCCAAGAGGAGTTTCGCGCTATCGTGTTCAACCACCGATCACAGATCTCTAAATCTCCGATGGACCGCCTGATCTCGGATTACTTCGAGCGGAGCATCAAAGCCCTCGACGTCTGCAACGCAATCCGCGACGGAATCGAACAGATCCGCCAGTGGCAGAAACTCTCCGACATCGTGATCTCCGCTTTAGACAGTAACCGTCCGATCGGAGAGGGACAGCTCCGGCGAGCGAAGAAAGCTCTGATCGATTTAGCGATCGGAATGCTCGACGAGAAAGACCCTTCCTCGGCGACGAATCTTGCTCACCGTAACCGTTCGTTCGGAAGAATGAAAGACAATCACAGTCACCACCGGTCGATCGGACACTTCAGGTCTCTCTCGTGGAGTGTCTCGAGGTCGTGGTCAGCTTCCAAGCAGTTACAAGCCTTGGCGAACAACTTGGCAACGCCTCGACCAAACGACGTCGCTGCCACAAACGGTTTAGCCGTGCCGGTTTACACAATGACGTCGGTTTTGCTGTTCGTCATGTGGGTTTTGGTCGCTGCGATCCCTTGTCAAGACCGTGGACTGCAAGTGAATTTCTTTGTGCCGAGGCATTTCCAGTGGGCAGCACCGGTTATGTCGCTGCACGATAAGATTGTCGAGGAATCTAAGAGGAGAGATAGGAAGAACTCTTGTGGGTTGCTTAAGGAGATTGATCGGATTGAGAAGAGCTCGAGGGTGATGAACGAATTGATCGATTCGATTCATTTTCCCTTGACTGATGAGAAGGAAACTGAGGTGAAACAGAGAGTTGAGGAGCTTGTGGATGTTCATGAGGCTTTGAAAAATGGTTTGGATCCGTTTGAGAGGAAAATAAGAGAAGTTTTCCATCGTATTGTTCGGAGCCGAACAGAGAGTCTTGATTGTCTCTGACTAATATCTTTTTCTTGAACATGTTTGTCCGAATATAATGAATCATATTCGGATTTTTTTTTCTTGTCTCTCTTTATTTCCTTTTTGATCACTGTAAAAAAAAAAAAACACGAAACTCAAAGAGTGTAGAAGTCATCTTCTTCTCTATCTGATACTGATAGTGATGAAGCCCTTTGTGTAGCTACTTGCTTAGTGGTTATAGTGATTTTAAAATTTTCATATATTTTGCTGATAGATTTGAGATTTTATGTCGACAAGAAGAGTAAAACCGTTATTGATCTTAATCTATTACATTAGAGAGCCAAAAGAAACATTTATTCTGCAATCTCTTTTCGATAACTACAAGTCTACACTTCAAAATCAATCAATATATGCCATACAACACAAATACATAAAACTTCACTCTCTCATATAGCTTCAGAATTTACTGTCCCTCGTTCAAAACTATGTATCCCTCAACTTCAACTGTCTAAAGTGATTCTTCCTGCAAAAACAAATCACATGCGCCCAATACAATTATGTGGATTAAGACTTAGAGAGAACAAACATAACACTGCAAATAACCAAACAAAAGTTAGACCATTTAGACATTTTTCAAAACACTATGCGTGGCTTGCCTCAGAAATTAGTGATGTTCATCACTGAAAATCTGATAATACGTGCAATTGTAAATGTACATCATAGGCAAAACCAACTACCACTTGACATCGAATGACCAAGAATTTTTTTGACGATTATTAGTTATGTGCATCAGAGAGATTCCCATCTAGACATTAGTCATCATTCTCCAAACAGGAGATTATCTGATGTCCCTGTCTTTTCATCCTCACTTGCACTAATTAAAGAAAACTCTAAAAGGGATAAAAATCATAAAACAAAACCAAATTGCAAAATTAACAAGAAACCAAAGAACTGTATCATATACACCATCTTGACTGAATCAAAAACAAACAACTAAAAAACTGGATCAAAATGAAAAACTAGATCAAAATGTAACACATGCATCAGAGAGATTCCCATTTAGACATTAGTCATCATTCTCCAAACAGGAGATTTTCTGATGTCCCTGTCTTTTCATCGTCACTTGCATTAATCGAATAAAACTCTACAAGGGATAACATCATAAAAACAAGAATCACACAATGAAGCCAAATAACCGAAACAAACAAACTAAACAACTAGACCAAAATTGAAAAGCCATTCTATAACATGTGCATCAGAGAGATTCCCATTTAGACATTAATCATCATTCTTATCTCCAAACAAGGAGATTCTGATGTCCCTGTCTTTTCATCGTCACTTGCACTAATCAATTAAAACCTCCCAACAGTTAACAAAGTCTATACAAAAACTCAGAGAGTATTAAAAAAACCAAATCATCGGCTAGGCCATAAAACAGACACAGACACTGAATTAACCTCAGAACATCTCGAGATAAGAGAGCAAAACAATATATCATAAAAAGAGAAATCAGATGTGTGAAGATAAAAAATGCCTCAGAGTAGTTTTCTTTTTCCTAGAGATTAATCCCTCAAAGTATATTTAACACCATCACATGCGTTCATATCAAACCAAACCAGATACACAGAGAAAGAAAAGAAGAGAATTACGAAAGATCGAATCTTCAAAAACACTAAAACCTCAAGACCTAACATATGACAAAGCTAGCTGTTCTCGAGAAGTGTTAAATAGACGAACGAAGGCGGAGGTAATTAGGGCAGAGAGAGCCACAGACAGGTTAAAGGTATAAATGGGCTTTGACCTACTTTGGCCCAGGTAGTACACAAGTTCATCGATTACGCAATAACCGGTTTGATTCTGTCGATTTAAATCGGTTTGAAAAGCAAATGAGTAAAGAAAAACCGGTCCTCTCTCTCTCTCTACCGAGAGCACACAATTCCGTTGGTCGACGTCTTAAGTTTCCCAGCGAAATCGAAGGTTGTCCCTTCGTCTGCTGCTGTGAGCTTTCTCTCTGTTCCACCATTAATCTTTCCCTTTTTTCTCTTATTCAACTTTTTTCTCTTCTTCTCCTTTCTCGAGACAATCTTTTTGGTGCCCTTCTTTCCTTCTTCCTTCCTCCATGATATTTCTCTTCTTCGTAACTTCGCCTCCTCTGTGCTCATTTTCATAAATTTCCTCTCTTGTTTCCAAGCAAAGAACCCATATTTCTCTGTTTCTGCTGCAAAAGTTCATTTTTTCTCAATCTTCCGTTACAGTGAATTTTGTTGTCTATAGAGAGACTCTGTGTCCGAATTCAGACGTCCCCATCTTCAAAGGTTGATGGGTTAAATTAAAACCAATTTTCATCATTTGCTCAATCGTTCTCCTGAAGCGACTTTATGGTTTGAAGCTATAAGACAGAAAGATATATAATCCCTTGCAAGAAGTCAAATTTCATCTGGTCATTGAAGTAAGTATTTGAAGAGATACACACATGTTCATACTTTTATGAATTTGTCTTCATTTTTTTATATATTCCTTTTGGGTTGACAAGGATGGGTAGGGTTAAGTTGAAGATTAAAAGACTTGAGAGCACAGCCAACAGGCAAGTTACATACTCGAAGAGAAAAAGTGGGATATTGAAGAAAGCCAAAGAGTTATCGATTTTGTGTGATATTGATATTGTCCTTCTTATGTTTTCTCCTACCGGCAAGCCTAACGTTTTCCATGGAGAACACAGGTATCAAAATCAAAATCATTCTCAAATTATTATTTTTTGTCTCTCTTTAATCATATGTTTAGTTTTGTGTTTCAATGCACTATACTTCCATTTTTTGTTTGTGCATTCTGTTCTCTTCTCATTACTCTTCTATCCCAAAAAAAAAAAAAAAAACGTCTTATGTTCTAAATGATTTGGTTTCCTAAATCATATCAGAGAGATGATGGATTGAGGATTCATTTCCAAGTTTCCTGCAATTAACTGATGTGAGCTATTTTTCTTGGTTTTTTTTATATTTGTAGTTGCATTGAAGAGGTTATTTCTAAGTTTGCGCAATTAACTCCACAAGAAAGGACAAAAAGGTATGGTAAGCGCATTATGTTAAAAGTATGGATTACTCTCAAACCTTTGATGTAGTTTGTGTTATGAAACTTATATAATGTGTCTTTTTCCTTTTTAACATAACAGGAAATTGGAGAGCCTTGAAGTAAAGAACAAAACCTCAGTGGATTTTTTCCTTTCTCATCAACTTTTGTTTTGTTTTGACTGGAACACAAACGTGAGCTTGTTTGTTTTGATCGATTACAGGGATTGAAGAAGACTTTTAAGAAGCTGGATCATGATGTAAATATAAATGAGTTTTTAGGAGCAAGGTACTTGCTGCCATTAGTTCTTAAACTTGATAACCTTATTTTTGTCATTTATAAGCCTCTGAGATGTTTTGTCTTCTCTATCATGCAGGAATCAAACTATTGAGGTATGGATCAACCATCATCGGTACTTGAATTGTCTTGTATAGTTTTGAAGCTCCATGAGTGAGATTGCTAAAGTCTTTGCTTACCTTTTCACCACACGACAGGGTCTAAGTAACCAGGTAGCGATTTTCCAAGCTCAGCTTATGGAGTGTCATAGGAGGTTGAGGTGTGAAAATTTTATAGTTTCTTGCGTTATAAAGTTTTGTGATTCTTGATATCTAGTTTCAGCCATATTTTGATTCTTCTTCTTATGGTGTGGCTGTTTTCAGTTGTTGGACGAACATCGATAGAATAGAACACACTGAGCACCTCAATTTATTGGAAGAATCATTGAGGAAATCTATTGAAAGAATCCAGATTCACAAGGTGTGTTGAAGTATTTCCCTTTTAACTCGGGTCATATTAGACCCAAGATTCAGGATTTCGTTTCAGTTTCCTGAACCCTTATGAGATTTCGGTTTCCTTCAATTTGCAGGAACATTACAGAAAGAACCAACTTCTGCCAATAGAATGTACAACGACACAGGTTAAAACCATTTGTCCCCTTTTCCTCTCTCTCTCTGTCTGTCTTTATCAACGCAATTTCTTAACCAGACCAAAGCCTTAAACTGCAGTTTCACAGCGGGATACAGTTGCCTTTGGCGATGGGAGGTAATAACAGTATGCAAGAAGCTCACTCCATGTCCTGGCTTCCAGATAACGATAACCAGCAAACAATCTTACCTGGCGATTCCAGCTTTCTTCCTCATAGGTAAGAGTTGAATAAGTCACAACATATATAGAAAAATTCAATTCGAAAATGCTCTCTCAAGCCATGGTCTACTGATTTGGAAAACAGAGATATGGATGGTTCGATTCCGGTTTACTCAAACTGCTTCTTTGAGACTACAAAACAAGAAGATCAGATATGCAGCAACCCCGGGCAACAGTTTGAGACTTTAGAACAACAAGGAAACGGTTATTTGGGTTTACAACAAATTGGGGAGGAATATTCATATCCTACACCATTTGGTTCTACTTTGGGAATGGAAGAAGATCAAGTGAATAAGATAAAATCTGAAATGGAATTGAACAACTTGCAACAACAACAACAGCAAGATCCTCCATCAATGTACGATCCAACGGCTAATAATGGTGGCTGCTTTCAAATTCCTCATGATCAATCCATGTTTGCCACTGATCATCATCAGCATCATCATCATCATCAACAAAATTGGGTTCCAGATTCAATGTTTGGTCAGACTTCTTACAACCAGGTTTGTGTTTCACACCTTCTGTTGGAACTTTATCGAGCCATATGATTCACCACACTGAATATGTTTCTGTATCTTCGGTGATTGCAGCAACCGAACTAACTCAAGAGTAGGCTCATATATGTAAGCTATACTATGGATGATGACTGGACTTATATCTGTAGAAGGACTAGTTTGAGCCATTGCTATATATATATATATATAGAGAGAGAGAGAGTGTGTGTGTGTACATGTATTTGTATGTATGAGAGCTTGTGTCATATAACTCAGGGGAGTTTTTAGGCATTTTGTGTATAAGAGATGTTGTCTAGAAACCATATATTCTGTAAGAATGATAAATATAAATCAATATATAGTTTCTTTGTAGATGTTGGCTGTGTGTGAGACAACAAAAGATTGGTCTTTCTATCTACTTCTTCTTAACTTGAGCATTTCAAAGCTCTTTTTGGTAATATTAGTCTTTTATCAGCTATCATGATAGTATTACACAACATACTCCAAAGTAACAAAACAAAAAGGATGGAATTAAAAAGATATTCAACAAAGCTTCATTACAATAAAGTAACCCTTAACTCAAATCTGCAACCTTGTGTTAATTTTGCAACCGAACATTATTAGTTCATTGGTCTTCACACGGCAACTCGAAACGACACAATGGACAAACATGACTCGTCTCAAACCACTTTACGATACACTCATCGTCAAAGTCATGTCCACAAGGTAAAGTCACAACTCTTCCTCCGTTGGTAAAATCTTGCAAGCAAATCGTGCACTCTTGCAGGCTAATCCTCTTGTTCGCTTTGTCCTTTTCAATCTTCTTCTTGTATATCCTCCTGGTTAGGGATTTGACCACGAGCTTGCTAGCGGGTCGAGTTCGGATGTTACTGGTCTCATGATCGAACGAGGCTTGAGCCACTTGTTCAATCTGAGACAGAGAGTCGTCATCATCGAGATAACCAGGAATAAAATCAAACCGAACCTTCAAAGCACATCCAGGAGAATAATCGGTACTTGCGGGACAAGTTACGCTCTCAACATAGCCAATTAGGTTCATCAACGCATCTTCAATATCATCTTCGTTGATTCCGGCTTCAAGCAAGAAGTAATTTAATTCTTGTTTGCTTTGACACTCGTCAACGTCGAAAAAGTCTTTGGCAAGCGACTGAGTCGTGGTTGTCAGGTTACTATATTCATCCAAGATCGTTGCTGTGATTGTGATTGTGCCAGCATCGTCTGGTTCAGGATCGTTTTCGATTTCGTGGGAGAATCTTTCTCTCATGGCTAAAGCACTATCAGTCGGAAGGAAGTGAGTTCTACCCTAAATTTTCTTTTTGTTGTTCGTAGTCGCTCGAAAGAAAAACAACAAAATCGGATGATCTTGGTTTTAGAGTGAGCTGTATTTATAATATCAGGTCATTTTAAGTCGGTGATTAAATTGTAATTTGTGTAATACCCAACTTTCCTTTTTTCATATAAAAAAAAAGGACTAACAATTTCCATTTTGTTTACACGATAACCGACGACATATACCGATTTCCATTTTTTTTCAGACGAAATATAACAATTTCCTTTTTTTTTGTTTTAACTGTGTCCTTTCTTTCTTTTTTTGTTTTGTTTTCAATGTAACCAACAACAAAAAGTTCGTTACAAAGCAACCTCTACATCAACTTCTGAACGAAAAGGAATCAGGAATCTAAATGATTCTATTACTTGTTTCCTAGAGGTCATAATCCCAAAGGCCAATAACTTGATCAACTGTAGTCTTTACTTATACAAACACAAACTTTGATTGTGCTTTAGTCTTTACGTATACAAACACAAACACAAACACAAACACAAACACTTGCCTTCTACTTTCTCCAGATCCTTCTTCTTACAATTATAAAAGTAGTCACATCAAAATTCGTCCTTCTTGGCTAAGTAGCTCACAAATTTGTTTTTGCATTTCCAGCATTTCCAAAACAAGCCTCACAAAACTTAATTAAGTATAGTTGATGAGAGGAATGCTTTAGAAATGAGAGTGATTTATCTTTAGAAATGAGAGTGATTTATCTTCTTTGCCAAATACTTTATCATACTCTTAAGTTGCTATATAGTTGGTTTATGATCAAATAAGCGAAATGTTTTGTAAAAGAAAAGATATACAAGTGAAGTTAAAAACTCTACGGGAAAAGTGGGTATTAACGGCTAATTGATTGCCAGAAATGACTAATGCTAGTTATTGCAATTAGGATAGACGTTTTTTTAGAATTACTTTACAAATAAACTTCTCTTTTAACATTAAATATCTCTGCATGGGACATGATTATGAGTTGATGAGACTACATAATTCAAACAGAGCCATGTTTATCATTCTTACTAAAAATGAACATTTTCAGACTGAAGTCACACACATCAGACATTTATGGAAGAGGACAAGGGATGGAGGAGCTATGTCAGACTCAAAAACCATTTAAGCAGGATTCTGCAACAAAGGCTGAAAATGGTTTCATACAAACAAAGATGGTAGCTATTACGGTAAAATAACTAAAATGTATTTTCCCCAAAGGTGGAAAGCTTGTCTTTGTCTGTTGTTGTCATACGCCACTTTTGCTTAAAATTAAAAACCTTTCAACACACAAACTTTCACACATTCTGTTATAGAAGAGAGGCATGCAAGCAAATGTGGTTTCTGGTGAAAACTCCCATCATTCCTCACCATCTTCCTCTTCTTCGTCATCATCTTCATCAGAGTCGCCTTCTTTCCCCTAGAGTTTTGATTTCGAAAACAACTTATCAGGTAATGGAAGAATAGTCTCAGACATTACGATATAACAAATGTTCTGTCTCAGGATAAGTCCATCTAAATTTCATCTCATCATTATGTTTTTCTATAGATGCAGTAATTTTTTCAGCAGAAAACTCAACCAAGCAGGGGAAATTAGTTGATTTTTTACCTCCTCATCTCCATCATCATCTCCCTCAAAATCCTCTTCATCAGCGTCCTACAAAATTGCATATACCATTTTACCCAACTCTTCAAGCAACTTAACTGCTCTATACAAAGTTAAGATTAGACAATGAAAAGGTCAATAGCTTACATTGTTGAAGTAGGTGAGAGGGTTGGGCCACAGATCTTCCTTGATGATATCCGCAACCTGCTACAAAACGAATTTCTGAGTTCAAACTGGGCCAGACGTGATGTTACTCTTACAAACACGTCATAGTAATATACGATTATTACCTCGTCTTGAAGCTCCTCCTCAACGTCCTCCTTGTGTTGAGCATCACTAAACCAGGTAAAGAAACTGAAAAAGACAGTCAAGATGGAGTCAAGTTGACATGTAATCGCTAATAAGAGAGGTTTAAGTCATCATGGTGCCACCAATTTTTAACTTGGATCTATGAGTGGAAGCAGATTTACTTAATGAGGAGATGAATTATATACCTCTCTTCAGGGAATGCACGTTTGTTTCCTTTCTTCTCGTGATTCACTCCATTTGGCAAGCCCTTCATAATTGAGAAACAGAGTTTAAGACTTAAGACTAAATCTCAAAGAGTGAGAATTTCAAGAAAACAAACGTATGTCGTGCAGTATACATCTAAATACCTTGCCCTCTTTCCATTTGATAGGTGTGGCTGTGATTTTGGTAGTCCCTTCATCGAGGAAGTCAAAAGTCTTCGTTAGACTCTCATCCTCAAAATAGGGGTTGGGACTGAAGTGCTGTAGTAATTCACAATTTAAAGACAATCAGCAAACTAAGACACCAAAAAAACTCATGCTTGACTTTTTAAAAATCAATCAAATAATGTGAAAAATGACAGAAACGGCATAAGAATAACAAGGAGCTGGATTAAAAGGAGCTTACAAAAGTGATCGAGTATCCAGATTTCACATCTTTGGCATCCTCAACATCCAGAGAGCTAAGATATTTGAAAATCTGTGAAATCAGAAGATTGAATCAAGAGGTAAAAAAGTGAATGAAAATGGTGAATCAATCAAAACCAAGGCTTTAAGGAAACACACAAACCTTTTGGTCTTCATCTGTCAAGAGTTCACATAGCGCAGGGTGACTCATGAACTGCAAAGGAAACACAGATTCCAAATCCCAGTTATTAGAGAAAGACTGTTCCAAGCACCCTACTGAAAAAAACAGAACAGAGAATCATACTTACAGCAGTAAGCCAGAAATCAGGGATTGCTTTGATGATTTCGTTACGCTTGTCATAGACAGGTTTCCTTATCACGTTATACTTCTGCTCCACTTCCAAGACTTCATCGCTAGCCTTTTCGTTTATCTATCAACAAACAAACGAGATCACTGAGATGGATTTCAACACAGTGTAAAGTTTCTTGACTTCACTACAGAAGAAAGTGGAAGGAGCTCAATTTTTCAAGAGCTCTCACATAATTGATGCGACAACGACCACAATTCATATGAAAGACACAACAACATAAACAGAGATACTTGACTTCTCGCATAATTTGGAGCATGTAAAACTCAATCGAGAAGAGCAATCCAACACAGCAAATCCTCATTGACAAAGCGAAGAAATTTCTGGAGATTTCGAGCTACTAAACATCGGGATTTAGATGAAAAAAGGAAGTGCTCTTTATATTTTACCTTCTCGAGGTCGTCTTGGATCTCCTGAAGCTTTTCAATTGAGAGGACAAGCTCTACATCAATTTGCTCGACGTTTTCCTCTTCGACTTTCGCCTTCTTGCTCTTGTCAGCGACCATTTTCACCTCACTCGCGAAACCCTTTTGATGAAACCCTAATTGCAAATCGCAGAGGATTCGACTGCTCCCACTCTTCTCCGCTTTTAGTTCCGTCCGAAGAGCAACCGCTAAAACCCTAAAGCTCTCGATATATATGATGGTGAAGCGTGAAGTTGGGCAAGATGATTTAGGGTTTTGGGGGGTTTTTGTTGACCAATAAGATAACGCCAGGCAAGGCATTAAAGGGTATTTTTGTCAACTTAGATAAAAGTCTGGGTAGTTTAGATATTTTCATTGTCCTTGTTATCTTTTCTTAATTCTTTTTAGGCTTTTTTTAAATTATTTTTGACTGATTAAAATCTAACTCAACCATACAGATATTAATTGATGGTTATTAACTGAATTAGAAAATAATATCCACCTATTATGATGATGTCGTCATGTTGTTTTAAGTTTTTATAATTTAAGAAAAAACCATGTGTTGACAACTAAACAAGAAAAGATTAGGTGCTAAATCAAACATTAATATTTTGATGATTTCTTAATAAAAAGCTAATCTGATCTACCCACATTACAGATTTATGTATAAGTTCTGTAAAGATTAAATTAATTTTCTTAACAACAAAAATAATTCCAATCATTACTCTGTACTATTTGCAAAGCATCCATGGGCTCAAAATGGGCTTTCTAAGGTGCTTTATGGATTACTGATATAATATAGTTCTTCTAATAGAATAAACAGGGCCAGTAGCCCAGTAGCCTCTAAACCTTTGTGACTAAAAAAAAAGAGTTAATAATTTTTTTTTTTTTTAAATGAACTAATAATTCTAAGTTTCTAACTACTCCATTTTAAAATGTTTCTTATTTAAAAGGATCACATTTATGAGAAAAAGTATCACATTATTCATATTCAACGGTCGATTTATTGTAGTTGTTTTGTTTGGCTCTAGTTGGGTATATATGTGTATATATATCAGAAAAAACATAATTATAGGTATACTTCTTTTTCTTATTAAATATTGAATGGAATTGGGTAAGGTGGTCACAAAGTAATTAATATGGTTGAAAACATTCTTCATAGCGCTGGTGGTACCACAATATTTATCTTTTAATATATAGACATATTTTTTCAGCTTCCACGAATTTATATACAAAAATGGCAGTACATTAATTTCGTTAGTCTGTCGAACAACTAAGTTATGACTCTAAATCTGGATCAGCAGAGTAACATTAGTACATTACATATAAAATAGGTGTAACCTCGCGATAAAATATGTGTTTTTGGATAACCGAAGTAACTACGCGTCTACGATGATTTATTTCGAATACTTAAGCCCGAGTCATCATTCATACATCATCATCGCCACCACCACCATGGACTCGAACTCTTATAGAGAGATATATAAATTATATATTCAATAAAATTATAGTGCTGTCTAAGGCGGTCCAATTAATTAGTTGTTTTACATCCATTGCCCATACTGTATATATTCATTTATTTTAACAAATTAGTTATAACTTTTGAGTTGTTCAATTGGTCCCAATTTGAGAACATTCCCTTCACATTAATTACTACTACTAAGTACTAACCAGCTCTTGGTTTGCGATTGCATGGCTACAATATATATATCTGGTGCTAAGGCCAATTTTGTATAGTCTCATACAAACTAATTAATATGTATTCACTGTCCTCGACGTCAAGTTTTATTTTCGTGTGGATAATTTCTGACGTCAAACTATCACCGTTTCTTATTATCCACATGCATAATATGTAGGGTCACGAATCACGAGAGGGATCTCTATAATCACGATGTTTTTATCATATAAATCCTTCTTCTAGTTACTGCGTAAGTCGTAACGTACATGGATGTGATATAATATGAAATATGTGGTGTATGAATGATTATCCTTTTTTTAAGTACATTTATCCTTATTTTTTAGGGCATCTTATAAACTTATACAAATATATCTATGTTATGTATAATATCAAAACAAAGTTAAATTTTCATTTCTATTCCAAATAATATAGTAAATCTGATAACCAACATATATAGTACGATGGTTGAGCTTTGAAGACTAAATCAACTAAAGTTGACATAAACGAGCATTTGGTTGGTTTGGACATATTTGTTTTTCTGGATCAAATTTTAAAATGATATATTCTTTAAAGTATCAAAATAAGTGTGATTGGTAAGTGTTTTAAACAATTATTACAAGCTTTTTTTAGAGTTTTTGAAGTTGGTTAATCATGGTTGAAAAAAGTGTAGGTGAGCTCCACTATAGTTCACAGTTTTCACAGCTTTTTGGTCCAGCGAAATATTTTTCCTTAAACCCACAAATTGTAGGGTTTTATAATATAAGCGACGAGACCAACATTATCAAAATCATTAACATACACACCAAAAAGGTATTACAAAAACAATTGAAAACTAATTTAGAAAGAACACACACGAACATTGGTTCTTAATTAAAGAAAGCTCAAGTCTTGAATCCTAATCTCAGTTTTAAACTTCTTCTGATGAGACATCTCCTGATGATCAACCTTGGCTGCTTCTTTAACATTCCTAGTACCATCAACAACCGAGACAGCTTTGTGACTCTTACAACCCGACAAAAACCCACCCGACCGGACTTTTTCAGCAACTGCCGGTTTGGGTTTAACAACCGAACCACTTCTCGTGACCCTCTTCATCATGTCGAAATCCGAAATCACCGATTGATCTGCCATACTTCCGGTTACCACACTCCATCCAATGCTAGCCTCACTTGGCTCGTAGACGCTGCTCGTTATGTTCTCAATCTCGAACAAATCAGAACTCACTTCGCTTGCTGTCTCATCCTCTTGCGTCTTGCTGCTCATTGAAGAGTTATTACCATTGTTTTGATTGTTGTTCTTGGTAGAGAGATGGTTTGGTATCGCGTCCCATGTAAGCATAGACAGCTTTCTCTCAAGGTTCGTGGCGATATCAGACCTTTGGACAGGTATTGGAATCATCTTTGGCTCGGGATAATCCGCTTTCTTGGCCTCAAAACGGAGTCTTGGTTTGTCGATGTGCTTTCTTGCGTCGTAAGCAACGAAGTCTCGATCGAAATTCCTACCTTTACCGGAGATTTTCCTGTCGGTATTGACGGTTTTAACTCCCGAGCACGGGCCGTTGCATCTAAACCCACCAAAAGAGACGCTGGCCTCGTTTGTTTTCCGTTGTTTATTGTCATTGTTGTTGCTAATCCTCATGAGAAAGGTTTGACTGTTGTAACTTGACTCGGATCTTACACTTGGAGTTCCATGTCGGCTTGTTCTTGATCTAGACGACGTCGTTTTCGTCAATTGGGGATGAGGATTAGGATGAGGATTAGGATGAGGATGATCCTCTCTGTTTTCCTTCTCGTGTTGCTTAGTGGCCTCCACCGTGGAGTCAACATGATCTAGCTTCATGCTGAAGTACTTTTCTGCGCCGAAAACTCCTATCTCGGAGTCAACATCAGCAACAGAAACTTTGATGGTGGGTTTGTCTAAGATTTTGGAAGAAGGGTGCTCTTGGATCGAGGAGAGGACAAGTAGCTCTGGTTTATAAGTTGAGATTTGGCGAAAGTGGGCACTCTTCTTTTCAGCATCCATCTCTATTTTGTGTGTGTGTATGTGTTGTTTAGTGACTACTTTATGGAGTGGTAAAATACAAAAGATCAAACCGAAAAGGATTTAGAGGGAAATGACAAGAAGAAGAAAGCTATGGAAATAATGGGAGATTTTCAGAAAGATAAAGCTTTGAATGGGTTGATGTGTTCATGAGGAGGTATTTTCACTTATATATAGAGAAAACAGAATCTTAGAGGATGAAATGGTGCCAAGTCATAGTTAGTAGCTACACAGTTTGCAAACCCCTCATTATTATAAATATTAGTTATGTTTTTTTTGTTTTCTTAAGAAATGTCATCGTGAAGAAGTACATTTTTTCATTAAGTGGGAAGTACGTTAGAGCGTTAGACTTTGAAAATAAAAAGCGAGTAAAGGTATTTTATTAGATAGGGTTTTATAATGATTAACTAGTTATCGTATACAAATTTTATTTTGTTTGATAGAAGTAGGAGCTGTTTACATATAAAATATATTTTGATTATTCGTTTTACGAAGCCTTTTGTTACAAAATTTGCTTGTTCGTCCTATTACGCGTAACCAATGGGGGCAATCAATTATCAATAGAATACAATTTCTTCCCAAATGTTTTAAGATAAACGCGAGATTAGCAGTAATGAGTTAGCAAGACCTTTCAACTTTATACAGTTTCTTTCTTCTACAAGGAATGGTTCGAATTATCACAATCATCAAATAGTTCAATTCTTTATAACGAAATTATATATTTTGTGGATTATATCCATGAAAAGTAAGATGTGGACAATGTTATGACAAGTGGTATGGGGAAGTGGAACAAAGAGAAGAGAAGAGAATTGGACCAACGGAAATAGATTGGTATTTATTGTTATGCTTATTGTTCAGTAATAAATAGGTTGAAAGATTGGTTTTAGATGGATTTTAAATTCTAACAAATATGTATCACACATTCAAGTATAAAATGCCTTGACGTCTGCTGGAAAGTTTGGCAGTGGCAACATCAAAGATCTTTTCAGTATCATCATATTATTGTCCTTTTGGATTTTGTAACAATCCAAAAATATATAATTTTGGAATTTTTGAAGATAACAAATGTTTGTTTTTCCATCCTAGTACGCGTTTTAAGGAAATACACAGTTCATCAACAGACAAACACAATGGACATATTTAACTAGTACTTGTTTAACTATACATATATATAGTTGATACAAGAAACATGATAGATAAACTATATATACCTTTTTATACATGATTTACGATGAGAAAATCATGTTATAACTGTCTATATATAACATAACATGATGCTGATATCGTTATAGCTTGTTTGTAAAATCTAAGACCTAAAAGGAAGTACCAACAGAGATCAAAGACTAACACACTTTTTACGATTATGCTTACCAAAATTTGAATAATCTATAACAAATAATTGGTAAGCTGGATACAATAAACTTACTGGATTTAACAATAACATGAAATCTAGTGATACGTGAAAAGCATCACGTAAGATGAACCACGCGCAGAGCTGTGATTGCTTCGTTTGTACAGTGTAATGGATTTGTTCGCATAAAAAAATCAAGGCAAGATATTTAACGATTATATATTTTAACGCCAAAGTAGATAACAAAAAGTCAAGATGGCCGAGTTGGTCTAAGGCGCCAGTTTCAGGTACTGGTCCGAAAGGGCATGGGTTCAAATCCCATTCTTGACAATTTAGTTTTGTTTGACATTTTTCAACAATATATTTTTTTCCTTTTTTTTTTGTTCTGTCAGCTTAATTTTTTTTCTTTATGTAACAATGTTCGGTGGATATCATGCGTCTAAGGCCTGTTCGATCTATTTATTGGGCTTTGTAGTACTTTATCCAAACTAGTATCGAAACAAAGACTTTTTCAAAATTATTACATAAAAATGACGTGTCGTGTTGAGAATGGTTGTGTTTGCGTAGCAACAAGTGAGAAAGTACGAGATTACCCCTTACTCGCTTACTATATATCAACATCATCGCAAAACGTCTCTTTGAAATACACAATTCCCTCTCCTCGCTCTTCTCTCTCTCTCTCTACCGGAATCAGTGACAGACTCTGTTTACTAACGAGCTTTCTTTTCGGTCACTATGGCTTGCATAAAGAGAGTTGATAGATCCGCTTTCGTTGCCATGGCACCAAACGCTCCGTTCATGGCGGCCGGAACGATGGCCGGAGCCGTCGATCTGTCTTTCAGCTCATCCGCCGATCTCGAGATCTTCGAACTCGATTTTCACTCCAACGACCGTGAGCTGAAACCAATAGGTCAGTGCCCAAGCTCCGAGCGGTTTAATCGACTCGCTTGGGGAAGTTATGGATCCGGATCCGAGGAATTTCCCTACGGTCTCATCGCCGGTGGCCTCGTCGACGGGAATGTCGGTTTATGGAATCCACTTTCTTTGATTCGGTGATTTTCCCTTTTTCTTTCTAGCCCTAATTCTGTTTCCGTTATGACCAAGTAAAGTATTTGCTATATGTATATTTTACTCCTTTTTTTCCGGCAGTTCCGAGCATAATGAAAGTGCGCACGTTAGACATCTTTCAAAACATAAAGGGCCTGTGAGTGTTAATTTTATTTTTAAGAATTTTATCTCGACAAGCTCTCTCTTTTACATTCTCTTGTATGTTAGGTTCGTGCTCTTGAATTTAATGTTATCTCAATAAACCAACTTGCTTCGGGGGCTGATGATGGTACAGTTTGCATTTGGGATTTAGCAAATCCTTCAGAGCCTTCTCAATTCCTAAAGGTGATTATGTTTCAGCTAGGGATCGATCTTGCTTTATCTTACCATTACTATAAATAATAGACCTACCCATTTGTTGAGTTTTGGAGCAATATGTTTACAATATTCCATCTACTGTTTCAGGGTACTGGTTCTTTTACGCAAGGTGAAATATCCTCTGTTTCATGGAATAGAGAGTTTCAGCATGTTTTAGCATCTACCTCATACAATGGGACTAGTGGTGAGAATCGTAGTTTATATATATAGATCAGCTACTACAATTCAACTTCTTCTGATTGTTGGTCGTTATTGTTTTTTTCTCTCATAATTAGTGATATGGGACGTGAATAACGAAAAGGTTATAACAGGGTAAGTGTTCAGATGCTTTTACCATGGTTTATATGAAATGGATGTGATCTAATAGACATCCTTAGTGATCTCTTATCATAACCTGTTATATATTTCCATTATCAATATCAACAGTTTCAAGAACTCCGAATCAAACAACACAGTTAAAGGTCCCATAAGGTGTTCAGTTTTGCAATGGGACCCTGATAATTGTAATCAGATAATGGTTGCCTCAGATGAAGACAGTTCACTTACTGTAAAGGTAATCAATCAGTTCATGGTTTTGTACAAGTTAAAATCAAATTTGGCTCTTTTTCTTCGTCGTCTCTAAAGATAAATATGCTATCAGCTTTTGGACATAAGGTATCCACAATCACCTGTTCGCACATTTGTTGGCCACCAAAGAGGTACCTTCATGTCATTTTTACTATAAACTGACTTTGGTCTGTTTTTCCGTGTTCCTGTTTGTTATCATTACTGAAAATTAGTGTCATGGCATTGATGACTCTTGTTATATAACAGGTGTTACTGCAATGGAGTGTTGTCCAAGCGACAGCTTGTACCTACTTACCTGTGCTAGAGACAACCGGACTATTTGCTGGAATACAAAGACATCAGAGGTAAAAAGATATGGCTTTGTGTAGCCTTCATATACACTAATTAGCTAAGTAGGAGTTTTATGTAACTTAATGGAATTTTGATTCAATTATTGTCAGATTGTGGCTGAGTTACCTAGTGTCAACAATTGGAATTTTGATGTTCACTGGCACCCAAAGATACCTGGAGTTATATCAGCATCTTCGATTGATGGAAAAATTGGCATCTATAACATTGAGGTATATATATATCTCTTGGTATATTTCTTTGGTGTTTGAAAATTAGTGTGCTGTGTACCCAAACCGAAACTCATATCAGAATGTATCATATGGTATCCATATAGGGTTGCAGCAGCTCTGGTAGCGATGAGAACAGTCAAGTTTCTGGTAATTTCCTTCATCCCCTTTTGCTGAAAACCATTCTTGATTCTGGTTCCTTGTATCGTAAGCAACATCACTTATTATTCTTCAATCTTCTTGATGCAGCTCCTTTAACAGCACCAAAATGGTGGAAGAGACCCGTTGGTGCATCTTTTGGATTTGGAGGAAAGCTTGTGTCGTTTAACTCAAATCTCCCTGGGGCTTCTGAGGTTTTTAGAGAGGACATTGTCTTTATTCTGTTTTACAGATTTGTTTTTTTTCTTCAGTTTATTGACTCTTATGGAATGTGTCAGGTTTTTTTGCATAACATGGCCACAGAACAAAGTTTGGTGAATCGGATAACGAAGTTTGAAGCTGAGATAGACAATGGAGAGAAGACTTCACTAAAGAGTTTTTGCGTGAAGAAATCTGAAGAGACGGAGTACGCCATTTGCTGTCATTGAAAGTTTTATCATAAACCTCTCCTCTTTAGATTAAAGAAGGTTAAACAAAAAAATGTCCTCTTTGTTTCTGCAGATCCGAAGAAGAGAAAGAAACATGGGGCTTGCTGAGAATCATGCTTGAAGAGGATGGGACCGCAAAGACGAAGTTGCGTATTCATCTTGGCTTTAGTTTACCTTCTGAGGATCAAAATGTTAATGAGCCTCATGCTATATATTCTTCTGAAAACGTTAAAGAAACTCAACACATTCCAGAAGAAAGCTCTGATCCATTATTTGATGATGCCATCCAACGTTCATTGATTGTGGGAGATTACAAGGAAGCTGTAGCTCAGTGTTTGTCTGCAAATAAGATGGCTGATGCTTTAGTTATTGCTAGTGTTGGTGGTACAACGTTGTGGGAGAGTACTCGTGATAAATATCTGAGAATGAGCAATGTACCTTACATGAAGGTTCATATATAGTTTAGATGCTCTTTCAACTACTTTACTTAGATATATTGGTAAGTGCTATCTTACAACTACTAATATTTGTTAATCTGTTTCAGGTTATTTCTGCGATGGTGAACAATGATTTAATGAGTCTTGTTCATACAAGGCCACCTAAGTTGTGGAAAGAAACCCTTGCTCTCATCTGCACTGTAAGCTATTTTTCCTCGATGAAACTAAAATGTTTGATGTCACTAACTACTTTCTAATGGATGTTTTTGTTTTTTTGGTTCTTTTCCATAATTATTGACAAAACAGTTTGCACAAGGAGATGAATGGATAAGCCTCTGTGATGCTCTTGCCTCGAATCTGATGTCTGCTGGTTTTACTCTAGCTGCAACTCTGTGCTACATTTGCGCAGGCAATATCGACAAAACAGTAGACATTTGGTCAAGGAGCCTTGAAAAAGAAAGTGCTGGAAAATCTTATTCTGAGCGTGTTCAAGTACGTGTTGTTGAATTCTATATCTTGCATAAATCTTGAATTTGGTCTGCTCTGCTCAAAATCTTTTGCCTTTTTTTTTTAATTGTTTCATTTGAAATAGGATCTTATGGAGAAGACTCTTGTCCTTGCTTTGGCAACTGGAAACAAGAGATTCAGTGCGTGTCTAAGTAAACTCTTTGAGAGTTATGCTGAGATATTGGCCAGCCAAGGACTTCTTGCTACGGCTATGAAGTTCTTTAAAGTTCTTGATTTCTCACCTGAATTTCTGCCTCACCAAACTCAGACGGTACCGCAGGTTTTTGATAAGTTTTGGCTTTCTGCAACAAAAGAAGTTTCCTTCTCAATATTATGTAATCACTTTCTTGGACCAACCTTAATTAAAGTGGTTTTTTTTTTGGCAGCCATCTTCTACTCCAGCTCCAGCAACCAATGCTCAGTTATCCAAAACTACTCTGAATCCAAATTCACTTGGCCAATTTCATCCTCAACGGCTAATAATGGGTCCTCGTTTATTTACTGTATGATTCACTTCCATCTCTATTGCATTTAGTTTAGAGTATTGTGTGTTTTGACTAACCTAATATCTTCTGTCTCCAGCGAGCCGAGAACTCAACATACAACGCACCACAAGGTCCTGGCTCACATGGATCCAACCTTTCACAACCTGGTCTATATATTAAATCTAAGATTCCCCAAACTGTTGCTCCACCACTAGTGGAACTCATGGTTCCAGCAGAGGAGGTAGCGTTGCAACCAGCATCCCCTGCACCTGTAGCTTCACCACCCACTGTTCAGACCGCAGATACTTCAAATGTACCAGGTATTGAGATTTTACAATGTTAACACAAAACACAACACTTTTCAGTTTCATTGGATGTTGTTTATTTATACTAGTGATGATCTGCTTCTGTTCTGTATAAGTTTTTTTTAAAAAAAAAAATAAAAGTCAGTTGCTTTCTTCATGGTATCATGATTTGTTCTAGCCCACCAGAAACCTATTGTGGCTACATTGATGAGGCTTTTCAAAGAGACGTCGGAAGGATTAGGAGGTTCACGAGCTAATCCTGCCAAGAAGCGTGAGATAGAAGACAACTCAAGAAAATTAGGAGCTCTGTTTTCGAAACTCAATAATGGGGACATCTCAAAGAACGCTTCTGATAAACTCGCTCAGCTCTGTCAAGCTTTGGACAAACATGACTTTGGTGAAGGTTTACATATACAGGTAAAGTTGGCATTTATGAATCTTTACTAATCTTTCATTTTATGTATTTTGTTAATGCTGTATCATTGAAAGTTTGTCTGTTGTTTTGGGGAGAAACAGTTGCTTATGACGACCACGGAATGGGATGAATGCAACTTCTGGCTCTCGACACTTAAACGGATGATCAAAGGAAGGCAAAATGTTCGGTGAAAATGGTGAAACTATATGGTCTATTCTCATACACTGACTATTTTGCTCTCTCTCCTTTTTTGGTGGGGAGTTTGAATCCTCGGAAGAATCAGCATTTGGTTAGAAAGCTTTTGAGCCAAGCAATGTTGGAAAAGCCTGATGAGTTCATGAAACTGTGTTAAAGGTCGTGGGTTCGAAGACATTTCTTAACATCTTGTTTTGCTTTTCTTGTAGTTTTCCTTTCTTAGCCAACAAAGTCAAAATGAATAGAGCGGCCGATTGTGTGACATATGGGTCCCCGTTATTACCCACTTTTAGTTACCACAAGACTTATATGGTAAAAGAAATGTCTAGAGAGATTCACAAAATCACATCATGTTTTCTCTCCAAAAGAATGCGTTTTTTTTCAATATATTTTAGTTTAGTAAATTAGGTTTAAAGAAAACTACAGTGGTCTTTTCCAACAAATTCGAGTGGACACTTAGATGAGAGCAGAAGCAGCCAATATGTTTTTTTGGTGGTATTGGTAACAAACATTGCTTTATGTTGGTTTCTAATGGCTTGAAACTTTGTTATAATATATAGAGCGAATTGAAATACATGAACCTAAACGATTTGATAACATGATTTGAAATGTGGGCCGCTGTGTTATGAATTTAAATTACTTTAACATACACAAACAAAATTCATGATTCACACACATATTCATACACAATCAAAAGCAATGACAATAAAAAAACAATAACTGAAAATGACATTATTTTAAGATGTGTAGAATATTTATCGGAATCTTTTGTATAGTGGTGGGTCGAATATTCAAGGGAAAAAGACAAAGAGAAGAACATAGGATTATTGGTACTTATATGCATTAATTTCATTTATTTTTATCTTAACGTGATCTTATTAACTAAGATCCTCCTGTTTTTATTTTTATAATAAAACAATCTTATTAACTAGTATATTTATCTTAAATAAAGTCTCTATATATAGGAAAAAGACCCATAATCTAACTTGCTTTACTAATTTGATTTTTCCATTTATAAAATCTGCATCTTCCGTTGCTGTCATTGACCATATATATATATATATATATATCCATCAAAATATGTTATTTAGTTAATACATACAAGATAAGCATTGACAGAGATCGCAAGTGCTCCGAAGGATTCATCTCTTTCAATGCAAGTGCTCTTATCTTATATATACGGATTCATCTCCTTCAGACAATATATTTACTTTATTAGCATACAATTATAGACTTATATATAATATCCAAATGTGATTAGCTCAAACAAGAGTTAAGATTAGAGTCTCTTGCGTTTAGCTAGGGAAGGTTAATGGTTTACGTACGTCTTCAGAATCCGTCGCACAAATTGTCCACGGCTCATTGTGTGCTAAATAGACTACTACTTAAAAGTCTCAACACTTTTCGGCTATTAAAAACAAAATCAAGATCCGAAAGAAAAGAAATAATTAATGAAATATTGTTATAATCTCAAATAGATAAAATCTGACGCCTCGTACATATATATATATACATAGGCTAGGCACACATATTTGAAGTATATAACACTCAATCACATCAGGAATGATGAATCACTATAGATCGGAGTTAATGTAAGCATTTAAATATACATCGATAAACCATATACAAAGCTTTTCTCCCTTTTTCATCTTCATTAATTAGTTTATTCAACTCGGAGGAGAATACTCACAAACAACCTCCGTTTCAACTTCCCTCCGATGAAAACTCCGGTGACATCCACAAGCAGCGCACGTCAATGCATCATCAGTTCCTTCGCCGCCGCTTGCCATAAACTCACGGCAACCGTCAACGGCGTAACCACCGATATTAGCGGCGTGATTCTTTTGGCACTCGACGTAACGGACGTTGCTAGAAGAAGAAGTCGTCGTGTAAGAGCCTTTTCTCTGTTTTATCACCACTTGCCTTTTCTTCATCTTCTTCGTAAGCTGATTGATCTCAAACAAAAAAAAAGAACCCTAATTTTTTTTTTTCTATAATTATTTCGTTTTGAGGGGGGGGGGAATGATCAAATACTCCTTTTGGATACAAAGTAAAAGGGTACTTGCAAATGCCCCTTTGTATATCATATAAATAGGGTTGTTGAGTGTTGACTATATCTCTACATTTGCCAAAGCACTTGTTTAACTATATATTTAAATATACGTTTGGAAAAAAAGTCGCTTCAGAAAAAAGAAGTCATTGTAAAATTAGATTTATCTATATTTGGTAAGACAAAGACTTCGACATAACTAGATGTATAGAATGGTAAATGATATACGTTTCGTAACATGAAACGAAGTACGACAAACGATACTACATAGTGATCTAGTATATGTTTAAATGCAAACCAATTTTTGTTAGTTAGAATTGAATAAAATGTTTTTGAAAACTTTGAAGATTCATTGTGTTTTGGATTTATTTCTTTTTTCAAGAAAGATGATTTACACCATATCACCATTAACATAGTTTATTATTCTGGATGTTTGGAGATGTATGAGTCTTGATCCTGAATTTCAACTTTTGAAGATATTTTAAAAGAAAAAATCATAATAGGTCTCTACTTATTTATAAACTCAGCAACCAGCCTAATTTTTAACGTTATTTTCACGTGCATCGGTTTGCATAAAGAGTATTTTGCTCAATCAACAAATTATTTATTAGAAACGCAATTGAATGGTAGCCACTAGCCGGATCATGAAATAAATAAATAATTGAATAAACAAATTAAATGCGTATCCGAGTCACTCCAAGGGACATGCTCCCACAGGCAATAGACATTGACAGATTGTTGGAGTACATTCGCATTATCAATCACATTTTTATTGTATTATTATTGTGAAGGACTTCCATTTACAATTAACATATACTTATGGCGCACAACGAGTGATCTAGATATGTAAGAGAATTACATGGTTCAAAGTAATCAATCTACAGCAACAACAACGGAATGTGATGATATATGTATATTAATTCACAGGTCGTCAGAGAATATTGTAATTATTAACATACGTTATTTCTTTTAGAATCCTAATGGCTTCAGTTTTCTTTTAACCTCTGAAAACTGAAGCCATTAGGATTGTAAAAGAAATAATGATTTGCATTTCAATGATATTTTTAGTTGATTGTATTTGTTAAAGGCGGACCAAAGGATCCGATTAGTTTAGTTGTATGTGAAAGTGAAATAATCATATTGGGCCAGAATGCAAATGAAGACCAAGGCCCAATACAAACGAAGAAAGCAATCGAGCCCATTATTACTCAACAACGTCGTCTTCTTCCTTTGCAACAAAAGACAAAAGTACCATTGTACAAAAAAGTAGAACGGAAAAACCAGCTGGAGAAAACTGTACGATTGTACTGAATAACAAATTTGATTCTCTCTTATCTTTAGAGAATAGCTAGATGTTCGACACTTGTAATCAGATCCTAAGATCAGAGAGTTCCTTAAGGTGTATAAAAGGAACCTCTTTGTAAGAAAAGAAATTAAGTTGAATAACATTGAAATTTCAGTCTAAAACTCCGTTCTTTGTTTATTCACATGGTATCAGAGCATTGAGAGACCGAGTTCAGTGAGATGCCGATGCTTTCGTTCAGCAATCCCGTTTTGTTGAAGAGTTGATGGACAAGACAGAAGATGAATAATACCATGATCTGTAAGGTGTTTTCTGAAACATGTACTCATAAACTCTCCTCCACCATCACTGTGAAACACTTTGATCTTTCTATTAAACTGATTCTCAACTTGTCTTTGGAAAGCGATAAACACACCATAGAAATCAGACTTAAGCTTTAAGGGAAAAATCCATGAATATCGAGAATATTGATCCACAAACACGGCATAATACTTGAAACCTTGAACAGAAACAACTGGAGAAGGACCCCAAAGATCACAATTTATTCGATCAAGTGGTTCCATTACACTAGATTCAGAATATGAAAAAGGAAGCTGAGAACTCTTTCCCATTTGGCAAGGTTCACAAACGAGAGAAGTGCTGCTCTTATTGATAGAAATTGCCTTGCTGGATTTGAGAAGTTGCAGAATCTGAAAGTTGGCGTGTCCGAGCCGTTGATGCCAAATGATGTCACTAGCAGCACACTGTCGGTTTGAGTAGAAAGCCAAGAATTCTGGATTCTGCAACACATAAAGACCCTCACGACGTGGTCCCCTTATCACCACTTTCTGAGTATCGAGATCAATAATATATACAGCATTAGCATCAAAGAATACTCCACAGGGATAATCCTCACAAAGTTTCGAGACTGACAGTAACGATTTCTGCATTGATGGACAAACAAGAACATCGCAAAGAAGAATACTACCTGCAGTCGTGGTGAGTGTAGTAGAACCAACGTGAGTGATGGGGAGGTAGTTACCATCTGCGACCATGACCGTCTCCGAGCCATTGTAAGGTGTCACATTTTGCAGAGGAGCAGCGGTAGAGGTAATGTGTGCAGAGGCGCCAGAGTCGGGAAACCATTCCTGACCAGTAGCATCAGATACTCGAAGAGCAGCAAGAGCTTGAGGAGTGTCATCACTCTGATAAGCATTATCAAAGCGATTCCAACACTTAAGAGCAGTGTGGCCAATACGACCGCAAATTTGACAAACAGGACGTGTATTGTTTCCGCCTGCAGATCCCTGAGATTGGTTCCAACCAGAAGAGTTAACTTGCTGCGAAAAACCCCTGCCGCGAGTTGAAAAACCACCACGACCTCTGCTGCCGAAACGAGAATAAGAGTTCCCACGACCTCTGCTGCCGAAACGATAATAAGAGTTCCCACGACCTCTTTGTCCCTGTCCGGAGTGGTTTTGCTGCTGAGCTTGAAACACCGTGAAAGGGGTGACATCAGCCGGAGATTCATATGACTGAAGACGGGTGTGAAAACCGGAGATTTCAGAAACGACATCACTGAAGTTAGGTGGGGGAACACGAGACATGGAGCTTTGAACCACTGTAGAGATTGGATCGTATTCCCGACCCAAACCGTTGAGAAAAGTAAAGATCTTCATGGATTCTTCGACTGGCTTTCCAATAGAGCTGAGTTAATCACAAATAACCCGAAACTCACGAAAATAAACCAGGAAATCTTTGTTTCGAGTTGACAACAACTGGAGTCGGCGACGAAGGTCGAACTCTCTAGCAACAGAGCTTTTGTTGAAGTTATCGGCAAGAGAGAGCCAAACATCTTGAGATGTGGCTAAACCATGGACATAACCAAGCACTTCTTCTGTAAGAGTGCTAAAGATCCACGACTTGATGAGTTGATCAGTGCAGGTCCAAGCTTCAAAAACTGGATTTGGAGACGTGACGACAACATTGTTAACCGTGGCTGTAACGGTAGCCGCCGGTGGAACTATTTGGCCAGTGACAAACCCAAGGAGTTTCTGACTCCGAAGAAGAGACTCAAACTGAGTTTTCCAGAGGAGGTAATTGTTATCATTGAGCTTTAGTGTGACAGAACTGGAAACATGAAGACTAGAAGGATCGAGAGCCTCAGCCATAACAGCACCTGTTAAGGTTTAGGAGAGCTCTGATACCATGCTTGGCAGTCAGCCGATAATCAGGTTCCGATCTTTTAACATCTGCCCACTATCCCACCTCAAGTTACTCATTATCCTCAAGATCTACAAATGGCACCAAAGAGTCCTGGTTCTACAATTTCATCACCTGGAATATCTACAGAATCCAGTCAACGTGTTATGATGGAACCAGAAAACGCAGAGATTACAGAACCAGAACAACAAGTGGTCAATACGCAAATGCATCCTATGATTACAAGATCAAGACATGGCATTCGGAAACCAAATCCAAAGTACGCTCATGTTGTAAGCAAGACTATTCCTTCTTTACCTAAAACCGTTGCAGAAGCTCTAGCTCATCCTGGATGGCGTCAAGCCATGATAGAAGAACTAGACTCTATCTATCAGAATCATACATGGTCATTGATTCCTCCAACAGCAGAGATGAATATTCTAGGGTGTCGTTGGGTATTCACAGTCAAACTACATGCTGATGGTTCACTTAACAAACTCAAAGCAAGACTTGTTGCCAAGGTATTTACTCAAGAAGAAGGTGTAGATTTTATCGAAACTTACAGCCCGGTGGTTCGAACATCCACTATTCGGATTGTTCTTGCTGTTGCAACTGCAAAGGATTGGAACATCACTCAACTTGATGTAAAGAATGCTTTCCTTCATGGTGAACTACATGAACCCGTTTTTATGGTACAACCTCCAGGGTTTGAAGATCTGGCTCACCCTAATCATGTCTGTTCACTAAAAAAGGCCCTCTACGGTCTTAAACAAGCTCCGAGGGCATGGTTTGACAAATTCAGTCACTTTTTGATTGAGTACGGTTTTATTTGCAGTAAAGCTGATCCTTCCCTCTTTGTGTATCATCACAATGGAGATACTTTGGTATTGCTATTATATGTCGACGATATTCTACTTACTGGTTCCAATCCAAGCCTTTTCAATTCCCTAATTGAAGAACTCAGTAATCGATTTGCCATGAAAGACTTGGGTAATCTTCACTACTTCCTTGGAATTCAGGCTCAATCTCACGATAATGGTCTGTTTCTCAGTCAAACGAAGTATGTTGAAGAAATTCTTCTCCATGCCAACATGTCAACTTGCAACCCGATGTACACTCCTCTACCGTTACGGCTTGATCACGTCTTCCGCGACAAACTATTATTCTTGGAACCAAGCTATTTTCGAAGTCTTGCTGGGAAGTTATAGTATCTTACGATTACTCGGCCTGATATACAGTTTGCAGTCAATTTTATCTGCCAACGGATGCACTCTCCCACTGAATCGGATTTTGGTTTATTAAAACGCATTCTCCGCTATCTCCGAGGAACATTAAATATGGGTCTTCACTTCTCCAGAAACAGTAATCTGGATTTGGTTTCTTACAGCGATAGTGATTGG